CTCACCTGATCAATACACCGGTGTCTGTCCCACTTGATCAATACACCACAGTGTCTGTCTCACCTGATCAATACACCACAATGTCTGTTCCACCTGATCAATACACAACAATGTCCGTCCCACCTTATCAATACACCACAATATCCGTCCCACCTGATCAATACACCACAATGTCTGTCTCACCTGATCAATACACCGGTGTCTTTCCCACCTGATCAGTACACCACAATGTCTGTTCCACCTGATCAATACACCACAGTGTGTCCCACCTAATCAATACACCACAATGTCTGTCCCACCTGATCCATACACCACAATGTTCGTCCCACCTGATCAATACACCACAATGTCCGTCCCACCTGATCAATACACCACAATGTCTGTCTAACCTGATCCATACACCATACTATCTGTCCCACCTGATCCATACACCATAATGTCTGTCCCACCTGATCCATACACCATAATGTCTGTCTAACCTCAAATTCATCAAATATCTTGTATTCCTCAAACTTGTGTTGTGGACCCAACAAGTTCTAGTTTATTTTCTTGGTTTTACTTTACAAATAAATTGATTAATGTTTACCTGTAAAGTTTCGCCGTGCACTGGTATACCCATGTTGTTTTCACCCTTCAGATGTATTTACTATATATCGTATGTGGAATACTAGATATCTGTTCGCATGGTAAATTCACCCTGTTTATGAAAGGTAAAAAAGGCAAAAGTTAATCTGTGTCACAGTAAATATTTCACATAAGAGTATGTCAGATCAAATCATATAAGTGTAGGTATATAATTGCTGAAACAAAAAGTCTAACTATAATTCCTTCCTGTTATCAGGGATACAGAACCAAAGGAAATAGAGACCGGGGCTGACCTGTCCTTCCTCCTGTTTTAACAAGAGATGTAGACGCTGCACCAGTAGTCCTTACCCGTCTCTTTCTGATTGAATATATAACAAAGGAATGTAAATGTTGAATACAGAACGAAGATTTAGACATAGAGTGCTTGTTGAATGGAGACAAGTATATATTAACGAAGTATGTTTATGTGAGCTTTAATTACATGTATGTAGTTTGGACCTTCTGGTAACAAGGCCAACAGGTAGGCCTTCATACTGTATAGATTTTGTTTCAATATATTCTTCTTGTCGCAATGTATTATATTACTATTGTAATGTATTCTTGTATAACATTGTGTCAAGTATTCAGGAACAGTGAAACATCTGAGATCTATTGTTTCATCATGTGACTTTAAAACCAGGAACCAAGGAGGCCATCAGATGTACACCATCCACATCCATTACCATACCTCTATTGAAGGAGGCACAGAAACATAGCATGGAAGGTGATTGTTTTTAGTAAAAGCAGCTCCTTATTTTGAGCTTAAACTAAGTTTGAAACTCAGAACTTAATGGAAAAATAATAGTTAATTATTGCCAAAATCAGCACAAACCTAACTGACTCCATGAACTGGTTTCCAATCAAATTATTAAAACAAAGTTCTACAGTAAAAAGTATCAGTTTTATTGTTGTGAATCATTACTGGCGTGTACTGTATCACTACAGTTTAACTTGCCCCTTTTTTCCCCTTGGTAATGAGAGGGGATTTATATCATGACAGCGAATGACATTACACAGCATACCATATATATATATGTAAGTAACTAGTATATTTCAACACAGAGAACCACTAGGACAGTCCGTTGTACTTCACACATTCAGAGGTATATGTATGTATGTGTTGTCAAACTGAGTTCCATACTCTCCAAAATTTATATGTAGATATACACAACCAACAACGTAAGTAAAGTTGATCACTCCTAATGTTAAGCTTTGATGACATCTTTATGTAGTTACCTTTTCAGTTTTGTGGACATCTTCAGGTACTTTTAATTTCTAGGTAAGAATATTATGATGCACTGTACTATAATCAATATGTCACACCTAGAACATTGATCTCATTTATCTCCCCTTATATTATTGATTGTATTATGTCATAATGTTTTAACTTACTAACATTAAAAGTAATCACCTGAAGATGACCATAATATTTGAAAACGTTAGCTATAATCAACTCTACTTGCCTTGTTGATTTCATGTGTCTATACATCCCTAAATTGTATGTGGCAGATTACATACACAACTGTTAATGATAGGACTATCCGGACATTATAAACATGAAAATCCACTCTAGTAGTAAACAACAAAACATCAATTTGTTTAATACATATTTTATTCATAACAAAATGCAATTAATTTGTAAAAATAAATAATTCTATCATACGTATTGCAAATTGTTTCAAAACAAATTAAGATATTCCGAGTCCATAACATCTCAATATGTTGATTTCAAAGTATTTTTATCATAATAGTATAAAATTTAACAATAATTTCTAGTAAAAGAAAAGACCAGCAAATTAAACTACTTCAGCCTGATTTTTTGTAAAACTCGACCTGACTGGAATGTACTTGAATCAGATGTCTGTACTTTCCCCCGTAACTGCTATGTAAGTTATTGTGTCCACTGAACAAAATTTAAAAAGTTTTTTTTTTTTCTTTTTTGTCTGGACCATATCATTTACAGTTAGCATTCAAAACTCTTGATCTGGTAGATATGGATCCCGGAGTTATCCCCCTTTCTGCAATACGTCAGTCGCATCATAACTTTCTACTTGATATACAAGGCAGCTTCAACAAACTTGATTAGGGTATTCAGGTGGTGAGAATTTCATAAGAACAACTGCTAGATATGTAGTAATTATCCTTTTATAAAGAAAACATTGCCACACTTCCTTAATTAACATACATATGCAAGCACTAACATTTGTATTACAGTTATTAGCTTTACAAAACTTGCTGTGTGTGGTAATTACAACAACAAGTACTGCATATGTTTTGCTCCAGGAAAACACCTCTGTCGTATTACCTTGTAATGACATAACAAATATATTTTCCAAGTCTCAGTGTGATATAACATTAGACAATTGGAAGTAATTATAACAGTACTAGCATTTGAATCTTATATCCCATGATTAGAAATGTCAAATCAAGCAGCCAGGAGTAGGGGATCACTTGGAACTAGGAACCAACTTCAGGCTCCCGCTAGAGTACAATATCTATCCAGCAATAAGCCCATCACCTGGTAAAAAGCATACCAATACAAACCAATGGCTAGAAGTGATAAAACAGCAGGTAATACAGAATATTGTACATGTTCGTGAGAAATAAACTAAATAAAATCTCTCAGGAACACCTCCCACTTCCCTATTTTGAAGGTTAAAACAATATACTGAGTATAAGGAAATGAACTGTTTGAAACTGAATTAATTAAAGAGATGCACAGTTTTCTTTGGATTGTCAACAGGTCATTGTATTTTTTTTCATTGGGGTACAGAAAAAGCACTTTCATGGTCTCAATCTTAGATATGTACAGCGAAATGTTTACCATTTCATAGCATAACATTACATCTGTAACAAGAGATTGAAAAATGCTCTCTAGATGGACGCTCTACCAATTTCATGGCCTCATATCTATATATTATCTAGCTACATGTATCTACATGCAGGGCAAAATTTACCATTTTATGGTTTAAATCTACCCTTTATTTTCTGGGTACATTAAACCAACATCACCATCTCATGGCTTCAAAAATCTATTAATTGTTACATGTCAAACTTAACCATTTCATGGCTTCATTCAATATATTGCTGATTACAAGCAGGCAAGCTATCATTCCCGGCTGCAATCTATAAACTTGGATACTGGACAAACTCTTTATTGTACATCCTAATTCTCAGTGTTACTAGGAGTCGAACCTGGGACCTCTGGCGTACCAGTCTTACGCTCTACCTAAGGGGCTAAAGACAAATTCTCCCTAGCCGAGTCGGTAGGAAGTGACTGGTAATTTACCAGGGTGACACAAGTCAAATAGGTGTAAGATATGTTCTGACAGTTAAATCTGGAGCTATCAGATCTTACCAAGAGACAGAATATAATTACACACAATACACAAATATAACATCTTATGCCATAGAGGATATATATCAAAGCTGTGCAACATACAGAGCAAGGTTGTCTGGTTATATACTTTAGGTCATTTTCATAAATGAAATTTGATGTAAACAATCAAAATATACTTTCACCAAGACCTGCCCTGTAATAAACATTGTTTAACAAATATTTTATGACCCTGTTTGAAGGTCCAACACAATTAAGTTGTTGACCAGCACACAAGAACTAGAAGGTTCAATTTTCAGACTAGTTTCCACTTGATTGGTCTAGTGGTTATAGTTAGGCCACTGGCCTTCCACATACATGTAGACAGCCGGATCAAGTTAAGGAATAAGAAATTTTAAATCATTTTCTCCCAACTACACCCATACCTGCCAAAGCACCTGCATTTGTGCAGGTCAACCTGCAAATGACATATTAAGCTTTGAATATTAAAATTTGCATTAAACATTATGTACACAAGTATATTAAAAGGCAAGTTAAAATAGTATAAATGCTATAACAACTGACTTTACTGACTTTTAAAAGTAAACATTCTGAAATGACCTGCAATTAGCAGACTTGACCTGCATTTTGTCCATCTTGGACCCTCACTTCATTGCTGCAAGCTTGACAGGTACTGTACTACACCTGTACTGGTGCTATAAATCTCAGAGCTTTCTTACTCAGTATATGAAGTCATAGGTCCAGTGTCTCAACACATGTACAGGTAACTCACTTCAGTGATAATATTGAAAGAAAAGCAGCAAAGATGCAGGTACAATGTGCTTCACAAAGCAATTAATAGAGATACATACAAAGCAAGCTAGAGGATGTTATATTTTCCCTGTCACTCCATATATATGCCTCCACTATTCCGTCTTTGCATATTGCATAGTTATCTTCTCTTGTGAGCAGGTATTGATTGTTACGTCATTGGTTTTTTGTGTGAGAAAATTATGGCGTTTTCTCAAAAATTGATGATGTTACTCTCACAAACAAATGATGTAATTTAACAATCAATACCTGCTCACAAGAGCAGATAACTCTGCAATACGAAAAGACAGAATAGTGACAGTGTTAAGTTTTTAGTACAAGCTGTTAGAAGTTAGGTGCTCTCTCATTAGACTGTAAGCCAAACCAAAACAACCAGAGCTATAGCTATTAGTGGTACGGTTTTAACAAGGAAATAACACTACTACAACTACATATGGTTTAGTGTGTACGGGTACATCCAGAGGTACAACAGAAACAAGACAAATTACAAAGGTAATTAAAAGATAAGCTATATCCAGGTTTTTTGTAGGAATTAACAAATTAATCATCAAAACTTTCTTCAAAACTAAAAATTTCCCACTGATTTTTTCCATACAAGTTAGACCTGGTACACTGTATACTCATCTGAACTTATAAGAGATGTTAGGGTTCACAAGATCATTTAAAGTAAAGGTAGAGCATACTGAAAGGATCACTACCATATTAGTAAAATAAATAAACAGGGTGGAGTTCAATACACATCGAAAGAATAACAGAATTATGTCTGGTCAGAACTGAAACTAGGTCAGACATACTGACATTATAGGTTTACAATGTTCATGCCACTATGATTCATATTATCCAGTTATTGTACAATTCACTTGCTACATACTAAACAGGAAATTAGTGAAGATTGGTTGAGTGGTGCATACTAGCCTGTTTACAGTTAGGTGTATAACCAACCTAGTACATGTACTGTGATTGTCTAATCCACTTGTATATATATGTTACAATGTGGTTGATTTGAAATGTACTTTAATTGGAATGTAAATTATATGAAACAAATCACAGGAGGATTTGTAATAAGTGACAAAATAATGAAATGTATGTATTCTAAGTACCGCTGTAAGACAATGATAAATGTGTATATTGTATTTATATTAGTATAACCTGCGTGTCTGAACTTACAGTCAAGTAAAATGAACGTTCACATCATGTCTTGTATACTCAAGATTTCCAACTTTTTAAAATCAGAGATGTTGTTGAGTCCATGTTATGATATCAAAAGTACATTATAAGTTTCACCTAACTATCTTTCTGGTCACACACCACTTGGCATGACATGCTATATATATATAGGAGCTACTGGAAGTAGGTATGATACAAGAACTGTTTGTTGACAATACCACGTAGACATGCGTGAATCGGTTTTGGCTTGGTGTTGTTTTTTGGAGAAACAACATCCAGTCGCGTGGGAGAGCACCTCAGCTCTAACCTGAATAGCTTAGAGAAGACAAGTGGCTTGTCTTTGGAGGCAGAGAGCAACATGATATATCCCCTATAATGTGCAACACCTAAAATGGGCAAACAATCATGGTGCAAGCGCTTGACCAGACTCAACTTCACCTTGCTGTACCTGTAGTCATACACCTCACCAGTTGCTGTGATGATAATAACCTTGCCGTCGACAGGAATCACTCTGAGGGGCTGGGCTAAACCCTTTAAGATGCCAGCCTGTACTTTTGTTTCTCGTTGCCGGGTGTCAAATATCTGGATGCCATCATAGTGTGACCCATCCTCCTGCTTTCCCCCCAAGATGTAAATCTTCTCCCCAATGGCCACTGTAGCAGCACACTGGACTGAAGTGATCAGCTCTCCCATTGTTCGCCAGCGACGGGAGTTTACATTGTACTCTTCTATTGATCCCTGTACATTGTTTCCTTCTGCCATCTTAGCATTGTATCCACCAAGGACGTAGACACTTTCCCGGACAGCAGCCATCATGTGGTTGTAGCGACCCCGCTTCATATTGGCATCACACTGAGCCCATTCATTACGATCCGAGTCATACTTCAGCAAGTTCTTCAGGGTGGAAGTCCCCCCAGTGAGATACAAGTCATTGCGAAATGACACAACAGAAAAGTCGGTGCCTGGGTTTTGCTGAAGAGGGATTGGAGCAAGGGTGTACCAGCGTCCCTGATGGTGACTGTAGGCCCAAAGACATTTCCCATCCTGATAGAAAGATCCCGATCTTTCCATGTCATATTCTGTCAATGCCAGAATCACCTCCTCAAAGTCATCACTGTTCCTAAGATGGAACCTGCCTGATGCAAACTCATGTCGTCTGGCTGGCAGTATATGGTAGTCTCTTACCTCGTCCAGATAACGTTTACAGTTTTCATCATTCAATAACAGTTCCTTGTTGTACAACTCTTCTAACAGATACTCTGGACTGACATTAACAAGTCTTATATGTCTAAATAAACGTCCAAGATACTCTTTACGGTTGACTAAATCCGCCTCCACCCATTTTAACGTTGCTTCACAAATTTGCTCTTCATCTACTGGCACAAGATCATCATCTCGAACAATACTTTCCAAATCCTCCAAATCCAAAGTCTCAAATTCATCAGATTTCCATAGGCCATTAAAGCCCTCCATAACAAAAGGTCTACATCTCTCCAGTAAGACTTTACAATTACAGGACCGGGCAACTTTGAAAAGCATCAGACAGTTCTCCATGTCCATCTCTTTAGCAAGAAACTCCTCACATGCCTCTTGTAAGGGGATGATCTGAAACAGAGCTGCAGCATGGAGCAGTTCCAAAGCATTATCTGCTGTGATGTTGTAGTCACTGCCATACATGCTTGCTCTCACTTGCACAAATGCTGATTTAGATATTCCTGGGATTGTGATAGATCTTTCACGGGTTTCCACCATTCCCGAGTGGAACATAGCCTTGAAGTAGGGTGACATTGTGGCAAGGATGAGTCGGTGACAGGGGAATTTCTCATCCTCCACAATAATGTCCACATCTGCCATAGAGTCATCCTGACTGTTCTCCGAGATCCCTGCAATCATCGTCTCGATGAACTTTCGTCGGGAATTGTTACTCATCTTACCAGTTGTTCCAGAGTTGCTCGCCATTCTGAAGTTAATTCTGGAAAATATAAAATCTCTTTTAGATACAAAGTTAAAAAGCTTTATTAAAAGGATCTAATAATCATTATAAACTTTTCTTAACATTATCTGATAACATTGAAATACAATGTGATGTATCCAATACTTTATTATATACAGCTCATCGGATGAGAACTAAACTACATATACCCAGCACGACGCTGTCATGGTCATCTTTACCTATTTATAACTCTACTACTACAGCTAGTGATTGTAGTTATTTCTCCATACTTTTTATATGCCCAAGTTGAGGTATGAAGGGAAGTAATCACAAGTAAAAACATCATCTATTTTATAACAATTATCAAACAAGTTATTTCAACTTCTATCATTTATTCTTGTTGGAGAGAGAGGGAGGAAGGATCCAGTTATTTGCGGCATTTAAAAAAATATATATATACAGTGGAACTGGACTGGGTCAATCGTCGGCAACCAGGAAGCTCAATTGGTAGCGTCAATTTGTCCATTGTTACATGTCATACGCTGGATAATATACATAGGGAAATAAGAATAAGTTTGGTTTTTTGGGGTTTTTTTTGGCAGAAGACAATCAGTCTTGACTGATCTAATTTCTGTTAATTGTCTCTTTTTTTCTCCAAAAATGATAAATTAACTAACCCGAGTTACATACATATAGTAATTCACCGGCACTTTTCATGAACCGTCGTATCAGACCAATCACCAGTGTCGACCTCAGGAACAGTGACTGATCAAGTGGAGAACATCAAAATCGGTCGAAAGTGAAAGTAGAACCGCATACAAGACATAAAAATCATTAGACAGTTCCTGTATACATCATTGGTCAAGTTATCAACAATGTTACTCTTTCATTATTATATAGGTGCATTAATGCGTGTGTGTAATAAACAAAGGAACTCGGCATTGCAAACAAAGCAAGTCGATGCCTGTACCAGCGGTTGCGTACAAAACATGCAGTGTAACCTTACATGCAAGTCTGACAGTGTCCAAGACGGACTGAAGTTATCTGGCTGCAATGTCATAGTTGCTTTTAAATCAATTAAATAAGCAGTATTTCACATCTACCGATATCTTATCATAATGCTACTAACCTGTGTATCCTGTCCAGAAAGGAGAAGATCAAACCGTTCAAAAACCAGGAAGAATAATCTACATGACGGTTTCGTTACGTAGTAACCCCCTAGCCCCTGATTTGGTATAAAGTTCAATGGGTTCAAAGTCGTGAGCTTCGATGACCTGCTACGTTATGGTATACGTAGGTTGCCCAGAACCGCTAAATGATACAGCCAATATCCGATTAGCATTTCAAAACTTACAGAATTGTTATTTTAACAATATAATTTGCGCATGCGCACAGCGAAAAACTTCCCTGAATAGCAGGTGCGTTCGAATCGAATAGCTAAGGCTGAACACACATGCACGTTTCTGCTTCTGCTTCTGCCATGTAAGTGTCCTCGTTCGTCTTGCCGAATATAATGACACTGGTTTGTGCGTGAGCAATAGTACAATTAAAAACATTTAAAAACAATAATAATAATAATAATAATAATAATAATAATTAATAGTATGAGGAAGAATACTACTAATAGTAAATAATAAGGAAATTTAATAAAAATAGATAAGGTTAAAAACACACATTACTTTACGGTTTTTTAAAGTTTAGGATGGCAGATTTGAAGGCCACTAGCTATATAGTGATTTTGTAAAGGCGATATCTGGCGGGAGGCTGTTCCAGTCAACTATAGTGCGTACGTATACGTATGTGCGTGGATAAAAGGACATTTTCTTATACTGGGTTCTGCAGTGAGGTATGGAGAAGTATTGTTCGTGTTGGTTTCTAGATAGACGTGTAGCTGGGAGTAGTTTGTTTGTAGAGTCAATTGCAACCAGGTTGTTTTTAATTTTGTAAAGCATGGCTAGGCGGGCATTTTTTCTTCTGGTTTCTAAAAGTGGCCAATTTAAAGCATCTAACATATCTCCTACACTGGACCTGTTGCCATGGCGATTTAAGGTAAATCTAGCTCCTCTCCGCTGGACCTTTTCAATTTTGTTGATGTCTTGTTCTAAATATGGGTCCCATACAGTACTGGCATATTCAACTGTTGGCCTAACTAAAGATTTGTATGCCTGTTCTTTAAATCCTTTGGAGCTGATTTTGAGGTTTAGTCTTAAAAAGCTAAAAGTGTTGTTGGTTTTGTTACCAATGTTGGTGATATGTTTCTCCCAACGCATGTCTGAACTAAACGTGGTGCCCAAATATTTAGCAGTATTTACATGTTTTAAGGTTTGTCCGTAAAGGGTATAATCATACAGTTTGGGAGAACGACTACGTGTTATAATAGAAAGTACGCTACACTTGTCCGGGTGGAAGGACATAGTCCAGTGTTTTGCCCATACAGCTAATTTGTCCAGGTCACTGATCACATGATATGGTCAGATAAGCTATCGTGTCGTCCGCAAATAATCTTACAGTTGATTGTAGGCTTGATGCTAGGTCGTTTATGTAGTGCAGGAAGAGACTTGTTTCCAGAACTGACCCCTTTGGTACCCCAGGTTCTACAGGCATATATGATGAAATTTCCCCTTCACAAAGGACAGCTTGCTTTGCGGCCAAGAAGGAAGTTTTTTATCCAGCAATTTTTTCCCCTCTTACTCCGTAATGTTCTAATTTATGAATAAGAAGTGAGTGGCTGACTTTGTCAAATGCCTTCGAAAAATCTAATATTAACACGTCGGTTTGTTTGCCAGCTTCTAAATTTTGAGTAATATCTTCAACAAATTCCAATAATTGGGTCTCGCAGGATCTGAATGTTCGAAAACCATGTTGCAAAGGGTAGAGTATGTCGTGATTATCTGAATGGGTCATGATGTGGCTTAGTAAGCTTGCAACACACAGATGTCAACGATATGGGACGGTAGTTTTCAGGAGTATAGCGTTGTCCTTTTTTGTATAAGGGGCTACATGAGCAGTCTTTCAGTCATTTGGTACAATGCCAGTATCGTATGATTTGGTAAAAATCGGTGTCAGAATGGGGGCTTTTTCATTTACAAGTTCCTTAAGTAGTCTTGGTTTTAAGTTATCAGGGCCAGCAGCTTTTTCTGGTTTCAGATTTAGCAGTAGTTTCAGAACTCCTTTGTTTGAAATATTTAGGTCAGCAATTGATGGATAAGTGTTGTCATCTACATGGAGTGTCTGATGAAATTCTGCAATGGAAATTTCAGTTGCAGGGGAGAATACCGAATGGAACTGCTTGTTTAGAGCATTTGCTTTATCAATGGGGTCTGATAGAAGTTTCCCATCCTGCTTTAATTGGCTGATATTAGTGCCTTCCGTCTTCTGGTGTTTAATATGCGTCCGAAATTTCTTGCTGACATTATTTGGATGACCAGTATCAGGTGTTACAATGCCCTCTATATATTGCCAGTATGACTGGCGCAGTTGTTGTTGTACTAATCGTTTGATGTCTTTGTACTTAGAGGAGAGTTGGGGGTCTTTTGACTTTTTCACCTTTTTGTAAAGTCTGTCTCGTTTTCTGATGAGTTGTCTGGTTTCTTGTTTAACCCAAGTTTTATTTTATTTTATTTTTGCCCTTTTTGGGGGGATATGGGCCTTTATAAGAGAGTGTAACTTGACCCTGAACTTTTCCCATAGTTCGTTGGCGTCTGATATATGGTCAAGTCTGAGTTCGTCTCCAAAAGAGTTGAGTTCAGTTTTGATATTACCCCAGTTTGCCTTTTTGTATAGTGTTATATCTCTAGGTTTTTGTTTTAGCTTTTTGGGGGCAATGTTAAATTCCACAAACACTATACCATGGTCGGAAACGCCTGGCATGACTTCCGTTCTAGGTATTAAAGTGGGAAAATTTGTCCAAATCAGGTCTAAAGTAATTTTTTTCCTGGTTGGTTCTGAGATCATTTGTGTCAAGCCAGTGTCATCAAAAGTGTTTCCAAATAATTGGTGTATATTTTGATGTTAGGTGCCTGGTTTTAGAGTTCTGGATTGCCACTCCCAACCGGGTAGGTTAAAGTCCCCAACGATGAGTAGGGCTGTATGTTTTATACTGGCTGCTCTTTTACCAGAGGAATCAAAACCATTAGCACTTTCCACATCGTTTGTTTTAGGGTGGTAAAAGGCAGATATGTATAGTGATCTGCAGCCAATAATGTCTACCTTGGCCCAAACTAGCTCACATTTGTCAGAGACAGTGAGTTCAGGTACTTCCTGGCTTATAAGGGTGTTTTTTGTGGCAATTAACACCCCACCTCCTTCTCTACCGACTCTATCTTTTCGAAATAGTTTGAAGGAGTCAGGGAAAACCTCGTTATCCTTGATGTTAGGTGACAACCAGGTTTCTGAACCAATTATTATGTCAGGATCTGTACTGTCTATAACGTTACCAAGGAGGTGTTGTTTTGATCTAAGGGACTGGAAGTTTATTTTCAGCACCCGAAGTTTTTTTTTGTACTTTGAAAGCATGTGAAGCTTTCCTTACTGGGGTTGAACAATGGACATGGTTAAAGCCACGACTAGATTGTTCGAGTTTTGGGCTTTGTAGGCTTCGGAATGTTTCACTTGTATTGGACAGCACATGAAAGGAATTTTGGGTGCTTGTCACGTGAGGGTTGAATATCACTTGACTATAATTTGGACGGTCACATATTAGGTAGTGCCAGCTTACCATTGAGTCATTTAATTCTTCATATGATTTGATTCCAACGTTTTGGCAATTAATGTGGAACCATTGGTCACAAGACTCGCAGACTATCCCCTTGTGTTCCAAAGTTACTGTGTGATCACATGTGCTACACAGATATTTTGTGGTGTCATTGCTTGGGCCTGATTTTTTTTCAATATCGTTGGATTGCGTTATGATACTGAGGTAGGTAAAGCAGCCATTTACGTGGTTTGTAATGGTGATTTTCTTTTGCGCCACATAGCTGCAATAGAGCACATGTTGATGAATCTACACTTATCTTGTTCGACAAGGTATGACAGTTTTCCCGTGCAGTTTGCTCTCTATATAGGCGTTGACCAGTTTGCACGCTTTTCTCGTCCAGCCATCCAATTCGACAATGAAACTTTTTTTTCAACTGTTAGGTCACTCTGTTGAGACCAGTGAACAATAGAAACAGCATTATAACGTTTTAATTTGTGATAAATGCTATGCCGAGGCTCAATGAAAATGACCGCCTCCGGATTATTGGTATGCTTCAAGCTGGTATGAGCCAAGCCGTTGTCTCTACACGTTTTCATGTCCATCGAAACACAATACGGGATTTCTGGAGACGACATCAACAGTTTGGCCACGTCGGCGATCGACCTCGTGCGGGACGCCATCGTGTGACGTCACGTCAACAGGACAACCATATTCGGCTTGTCCATTTGAGAAATCGCTTCCAAACGGCAAGTTTGACTGCACGGACAATCCCTGGGTTGTTACCAATAAGTTCGAGAACTATACGTAACCGATTGCGTGAACGAGCTATCCGTCCGCGACGTCCTGCAATCCGCCCAGTTCTTCTGCCACGTCATCGTGTAGCATGTCTGGACTGGTGCAGAAGGCATTTGCGATTTACTCGACGGGATTGGGCAGGCATTTTGTTTAAGAACGAGTCGCGAGTCCACCTGGATAGTAGTGACGGCCGTTCCAGAGTGTATTGTCGCGTTGGAGAACGTTTCCGTGACGCGTGTGTGGTACAACGACGTTCTTTCGGCGGAGGCAGCGTTATGATTTGGGGCGGCATCACATCACGCGCTACCTTACCGTGACGAGATCCTCCGGACCCACGTCGTTCCATTCGTGCAAGGGCAGCAACGTCACATTACGCTACAGCAGGACAACGCCAGGCCACACACAGCTCGTGTCGCTATGGACTTGCTGGCCCAGTAGAATGTTGACGTGTTGCCCTGGCCTGCTGTATCCCCCGACCTGTCGCCCATTGAACACGTCTGGGATTAAATGAAGCGCAGATTACGGGTATTACCTAATCAACCGGTGACGTTGGCTGATTTGGCTGCAGCGTTGGTACAGATCTGGAATGCCATCCCACAAGCATTCTTCAACCGTCTGATAGGCTCCATGCGTCGACGTTGCCAGACTTGCATTCAGGCAAACGGTGGACATACGAGGTATTAACTTTGTGAACTCAGGAATGACCCCTGCTGTGTTGACGTCACTCCTGAGCGGAACTTATTGATTCCATAACGTGGAAAATGGAATGCAACTGTTAATAAATAACAAATAAATTGTTCCTGAAAACCTTGTTGTTCTACGTCATTCAGATTTTTTTTGATTTTTTTTTTGATTTGTTTATTTTCAAAGTATTTTTCACATTACAGTAACATATACATTTCATTA